TGTGTGCTAGATAGATAATTACCAAAGAGACATCCAACGGTAGCATGAAGATTGTTAATAGGGAAAAGTACCAAGCTATCAACACAGAGATAGTGACCGCAATGTGATGTCGAAACACGTTTCCATACTTGAAGAGCAGAGTCCCAGCCACCAGGAACGCCGCTATCATCTCCGTTACGACCGCGCTGAGAGCCATCTTGCCTTTAATATCTCGCGCGACAGTGATATCCGACGAATCCTACGGGTCTCCAGCCGCCGTTAAATGCTTATGCGCTCGCATCGAGACTACTCTCTGCCTCTTGCGTCTCCTTGACTTTAATCTCCGCATCCCTTTGCATCTTCTCAAGTTTTTCCAACGTCACTGATTTCAGCGGAATCAATTTTGGCTTACAGAGGATGTAGTTCAACGTGTCGTTCTGATACAGCAGACCTTGCCTCGGCAGGACTATGTCGCACTGTTCCACCTGACTGTCCGTGGGCTCTGACATCTTCGGTCAATCCACGAGGCCTCAGCGAGTCAACGACCTCTTCATCGTGGCATCTGGTAGCGGAAGAGTATCGCTGTAACATGAATCAAGGATTAATTGAAAATTTCCACAAGGAGATAATCCTGATACCGATTCAGCTTAATACATCATTTTCAAAGTTTGTTGTTTTTTTTTTCTTTTTTAATGTGTCTAGGATAGGCTCGGTCCTATCGCCGTGTCTCCAACTGTGGTTGCTCCAGTTTTCTGACACAAAATCTCTCGTTAATTTTCAAAGTTTGGACGTTTCGCTGGACTACGCTCGTCTCGATCGCGACAGACTCGAGTCAGCTGACACAGCTGACAGAAAAGAGTCAACACCTTGCGTAGGTACCTGACGTAATGCAATTGACAGAACGCCGCGACTGTCGCACGTTGAGGCGAACGTCCCTGGATCCTCCTCGCGTACTCCCGTCGTCGGACAATTCGCCGGAGGAATTATGCCGCCGATGCCGTTTCCCCGTAACCGACACAGAATGACAGAACTGACAGATCGCTCCCAGCTGGTTGATGAACTCCGCGAACACTCGTGAATCGCCGACGGATCTTTACCAGCGGGGCCGTGGAACGTCAGGGGTTATGGACCGTCCGAGCTGGACGTCGGACGTCGCGACGCGACTGTGCGAGGCTTGGAACTAACTGGAACTAACGTCGACGTAAGATAAGTAGATAAGTCAGCGCAGCTAGGTAGATAAGTAAGATAAAGTGGATAAATATGCGTGGCAACTTTTGTGTTGCTTGAAATTCTAAACTTGAAACGGAGATAAATATGACATTGGGCGTTGGAGAAAGAGAAAGCGAAGATTCCAAGCACAAAAAGTGCAAGCCAAACACAAACAGATGATATACCATTGCAGCTTGTCAAGGATAAATATGATGACGATTCTTGCGCTGCTCCGACATTTGATAACGAATATATTTGCGACGTGTATTGAAAAACATGGTAATCTACCCTTCTATGTTTTCATAACAGATTTTTTATTATTTGGAAAAAAAAAGAAGAGGCAGACAATGCCTCGATAATGCCACATCTGACTTACATTATATTGATTTTTAATATGCAAGTAATTTTCAGAAGAAAATTTAAAAGGAGAAAGAAAAGGAAGGCAGGGGGAGTCTGTCCTCAGCTGCACTCTTTGTGATTGCGCTATTATTTCTGCATTGAAAACGAGACGGATGTACGAACTGATGAGGAGGAAAAGAGGAGAGATGAAGGATACAAAAAAGTTCAATCGCGCGGAACCTGTTCGAGAGGGATAAGGGAGCTGATCACGTGCAGGGCGGATCGACCAATGCTGTGTCGCGGTTCGACTCTTAAATTTCTAATAAATTAACGATATTATACGCTGAAAATAACAGAGACGTCATTCGCCGTTAGACGTTTGCCATTTATCTTTTTAAGCTGAGACGATGTATTCATATCGAGAGAGAAAAAGAAGAAAGAAAGAACGAGAGAGATATAAGTGCAGAAAGTGTAACCGGAGAACAGTATCGGGTGGACAGCAGCGCAAGCAGTCCTAAGTCAGCGTAAATTCGCGCGTGGGAATTATATGCCAAGATTCGGACTGATCGGATGAAGTTAGCTGCCAAAGGTACATACGTGCCGCCCGTCTGGGCGACCCGATCACCGACCCGAGAAGAGATTCAACCAGATTCGACGTTGACACGCGGGGGGACACGGATGGGGAATGAAGATGGGTGCGCTGACATTCCTCGGTCGTAAATAAAAAGTGTCGTATTTAGCTTCGCCGAAGCGACGGGGGAGCGAGGGGGGAGAAGGGTGATGACGATAGCCGATCCTGGAACCGAGAGCGACACGGCATCCGCCAGTCCAAGTGAGACGGATGCGTACCGTTTGCTTATTTATCGCCTCTCGGTTGTCATAATAATAGATTCGTGAAAGAGAGGACTTCCTGCGAATGATATATATATATTCAAGATCAAGGTCGCGTGATATACCTATGCAGAGACACACGTGCCACTTCATCAGCATCCTCGACGGAAGATGTGATTTTTTTTAAAGCGTTATTAAGTTTTATGCTGGAGCAACAAGCTCGAATTGTCTCCGAATACCGCAACAAACGCACGTTCGTGCTTTACGGGGAAAAACGTGAGTAAATAGCAGACGACGAATCATTCTTATTTAATGTAAAATTTGAGCTATTTGTCTATTTGTCGCTCGACAAAAACAGTTTCATAATTACATAATCACACGTTTGATAATACAAAGTATGGAGAAGGATATAATCTCGAATCGAGAAGTTAATTTTTTCATTTCTCTTTTTTTTTACAGAAAAGATTGGAGCAGGTGAGATCATATGTTTCGTCAAAATTTTAAATACACCTCCACGCGACTTTTCGAATTTCAAATTTCAAGACGCGATTCGTCCCCGACTTCAAGCTTATCAGTCGCTGACAATGCTGACATGCGCCGTATGTCGCAAACAAATTTGAAAACGTCGCTGGTCGCCGTATACATGTAAATATCCCAAGCAAATCTATACATATGTCGATTACTGCATGCAATCGTACATATATTTATAAGTCTAACACGTATAAACTTTGTACAGCGATTTTATGCTCCGATATACGTCGAACTTTTCGCAGGAAACGTTTATCGGACCACGTTGCTGAATCGAGCGCGCGCGCGCCAGGCCACGTGACAGCGGGTACCAATCGGAACGAAACTAAAGATCCCAGTTATCAAGCGTCCACTGGTATCTCTCTCTCCTTCCCTCGGACGCTGGCGTATGTCTCTGTCTCACTCTCGGATCAGAAGGTGTAGAAGGTGGTGCAGGCAGTGCAGGAGCAGGAGGCAGAACCTCACGCGACTCCGTAAGTTTGTTGTACGGTGAACCTTCTCGTCTTTCTCTCCTTTTCTCTCCGGCGTCTAAGCCGTCTAATTGTGCCTGTTTCGCTTAGAGCGCAGAAGGTATATAACGTGGTGCAGCTAAGAGAAGCCGGAGTCTGCATCAGTATATCGCGGCTGGCACCATATTACCACCACCATCACCGCCGCCGCCACCACCACCACGTCGCCGTCGCCGCGCGGCGGCATCCCTCCATCGAGTCGCCGCCGCGGTTCAAAACCTGTCGGTCTGCATTCCAGTGTCGCCGCCGGTGAACGCCAAGCAGCAACAGGCCAGGCCAGAGCCAGCAGCGGCGGCAGCGGTCTCGTCGTCAAGCGCGTCCCGTTCCGTCCCGTGTGCCCGTGTCCCGTTTCGCCGCGACGCCGTGTACCCAAACCGCGCGCGCGTCCGCTTGCTCGGCGTCGCGCGTCCGTTGAGTTCGCGCTGAAGAACATGAAGTAGACGAGAGTGACCGTCTCGTCGGGGTGATCGTCTCTTGTGCGCGCGCGAGAAACCGGGGAAGCGCCCGGCGTGAAAAGAGGAAGCTCTACAAAGGGAGCACGCGGGCCACCGCCGCGGCGGCCGCGTATCTTCATCGGGTCTCTCGGGTCTCGTTCCTGCGGTGCGGCGTCCGTCTTCCCGAATTACATCCCGCGGGGTCGGCGAGCGACGCGCGGGGCGAGAGGACATCACTCTTTCGGCGTCGGCTTCGGTCGGCGCGGCGGGATCGAGAAAAAGGGTAAGCACGCCACTTCTCTCTCTTTCTCTCTCGTTCTCTCTCTCTCTCGTTCCCTCTCTCTCTCCCTCTTTCTCTCTGCCTCCTTCCCTGTTTTTCCCTCTTTTTCTCTCTCTAGACGGACGATCTTGGCTCCGGTGCAGGTCGATCGATCGCGCGATCGTGGAACCCGGTTCTCCGCTCGGAACCGCTCGCGTCCGATCGTCCGGTCACCCCGCGTCGGAAAGGGAACACCACCAACACGCTCCGGAGATTTCCGTTTCCACGGGAGAGAATTACGGACGTCGGAAACTGGATCCGGATCTTCCCATCCGCGTTGCGTTACGCTCTCTGTATTTAGAGTGGGCACACGCTCGTTCTATTTGCACTTTCTACGTGCGAGACGAGGCGCCGCGCAACCTCCGGAGCGTGTTGGTGGTGTTCCCTTTCCGACGCGGGGCGACCGGACGATCGGACGCGAGCGGTTCCACGATCGCGCGATCGATCGACCTGCACCGGAGCCGAGATCGTCCGCCTAGAGAGAGAGAAAAAGAGGGAAGAAACAGGGAAGGTGGCAGAGAGAAAGAGGGAAGATGCGAAGTGTGGAGGAGACACGGTAATAATTCTTTTTCCTCGAGCTGTAGCGTTATGATACGCTGCTACAGCACGCGTAGGTACATCCATTCACATCACGGATCGCGACGTCGTACTACGCACCCACACGCTCGCTTTTTAATCTATCTGAAGCTATCACGTCGACGTTTTCCCGACTACGGAAAAGGTTGGCGAACGAAAACGCGCCTCGGTCCCTTGGCGACGATTAAGATGTTTCATGCACGAGGAATACCCCTTTCGAACCTGATTAATGCACAATGGTTATGTTAATGCGACGGTTGTTTAATCATGCAGTAGAATTTTCTCACCAGCACCAGTGTAATACAAGTAATTAATATGATGATGTATCTTCTCCTTTGATTCAATTTTAAAAGACTTAAAAATATTAATTTTTAATTAATATTATGCTAATTAAATAGTTGTACAGCGCGCGTGAGAATCGAAATCGATATCGATTGATGCAGAGAAAGAATAATTAACATAGTAATCACATTTAGGAATTCTCGTTTGTAGGTGCGATCTGTAGTGTAAAAATATGGCAATTAGAGAGTTTTAAATATTCATAGCCCTCTAGTGATATATGATGTAATTTCATAGAAATTTCCAAAATGTGTATGCCGGATGTATGTGTATGCCGGAAGATTATCGGCGCGACGGCAGCCTACCGTGTTTTATGTACGAGGAGACTCTTAACTTCTGGTTAAATGGTAGCGTAAATGGCGGTGGTACGTAACAGGTGAGAAGGGCCGCAAAGAGGCTGGTTTCCGATGTTACCTCTCGTAAAAATAAAGAAGCCGAATTCCAAAGCAGTGGTTGTCCACTCCGCGCCCCTCTTGGCACGAACGCGAGAACGCGTGCACGCGCGACCGATGGGTTTGCACGCGCAATCTGCGGCGCCGTAATTACACCTAATCCGTCGCGCCGTCGTATTTAACGACTTAATCGTCGTGGTGTGTTATACACAGGCGGGTGATGTGTCATACGCTGCAAAATTTATGAAGTGCAATAGAGAAGAGAAAGTATTGCGTAGGAGAGATTAATTACGAGAGAAATTGTCACAGACAATACATAATTGACAATTTGATAGTACGTTCTTAGTGTACGTATTTTCCCGAGTACCGAATGCAAATTACAATTCAATAAACGGATATAATACAATTATAATATTCGGATATTCATAATAATTAACGTACAAGTTTTGTCACGTAGATCTTGAGTCGACACGGGTCCGAGTTGCCTGGTTATTTTGAATATTCAATTCGACGTGGTTTATGTATAGGAGACACAGACGAGAAAAGATGACCGAGGTCCGTCCTAATCTTTTGTGAGAAATCTGAAAAATCTAACACTCGAAAAAAAATCTGACCGCTCCGAGAGAGAGACTTTCCGCCCTGAAAATGCTCTGATTCTTTAAGGACGTTCTCTCGTCCTTATACTAGAGAAAATCGTTTTTCTTTATATTTTCTCGAAACTGTGAATATACGTTAATTTAGGTGTGCTTTATGCGTGGTATAAATTTCAGTACCTCTTCCGGGATAAAAAATAAAGATACTGAGCCTCAAAGTTTAAAAAAAAAATTTTTAATTTAATTTTTTTTAGTTTTGGCATTTTTTCCTTATAGAACTCGACGAGAGAAGTAACTTTGGTCCTCTTGGCCAACCTCGTATCTCTTACCGTTTGGCCTGGAAAACCTTTTCATTAGTAAAAGTTGAAACTTTGAGGCTCAGTACCTTGATTTTTTATCCCGAAAGAGGTACTGAAATTTATACCACACATAAAGCACACCTAAAAATTAACGTATATTCACAGTTTTAAGGAAATCCTAAGAAAATCGATTTTCTCTAGTATAAGGACGAGAGAACGTCCTTAAGACGGGCTCTCCTTCCTGCTCTACGCGGAATGCGTGGCCGTGCCATATAAATGACTATCCGTGTCATTAGTATTCCAGCGAAGGACCGTCTCTCGCGGTGCGTTTATGGGATCGAGGGGGGATTGCGATCACGACGGCGCGGCGACGGCAAGGACGGGTTCCTCCGTCTCGTTAACAGGTGAGGCGGACTCTGTGAAAGTGAGAAAGGGAATTTCGGAGCAAGTGAGGTGAATGCGTTGGGTTTAACGTGTCATTTTAGGGATGTAAAAGAGTAATTCACGTTCCTCCGAGTTTCTCGACGGAGTCGGAAGAGCTTCTCGCGCGTGGCCGATTCGGGCAGATCGTATCTCGTGGCGCAAGTGGATTTTTTCGGTTCAATAATCCGATCGAAGTGTCGGTTTCGCATTTTTACCTGGGAACGACGCAACGCGGTCGAGTGGAGAACGAGTTCGCGATAAAACTGGCGAATCTGAATTTCGCCTCCACGCCCCTCATTTGTCTCGCAAGCGCGCTTAATGGGATCGAGGATTTCGCGACAACGACGGAGACCTGAATCGCCGCCGCGAATACAGGTGAGATTAAGAAAAAAAAGGAGGACGCGGGGAAGATTTCGGAGCGGAGAACGCGCTGGCAGAGTGGATGATAACGAATGAGAGGTCCTGCTTTTAGCTGCTCCCGCACTCACTCCCCTGCGTGATATCTTGATCCCCCTTTCGTCCTACGACGCCTGAATACACTTGTTTCGTCGGATCTCTTTTATACACTTCCTATCTGCGTTTCTTCCACACCTGTTTTTCTCCTTTTTTTCCCCCCCTCATCTTCTTTCCTCGCTCTCCCGGTGCACGCACGAGTCTCGCTACAAGCTCAGAGAGGGTACGAAAACGAACTATTAAAGAAAGAGGATTTACCGAATCTTCTTTACGTGTGAATTAACTGTAATAACTTTCGCAATTAAAATCGTCCCCCGCGTCTTCTCTCGCATTACGTTTCCAGAAAGAGATACGGAGAGATAAGATTTAGACTAAAGAATAGACTGCGAATGAAGGTAATCGACGCGGAAGAAAACGCTACAGATCGCACCAGACGAGAAATCCTAAGTGTGATCACTATGTTAATTATTCTTTCTCTGTATATATCAATCGACATCGATTTCAATTCTCACGTGCGCCGTGCAACTATTTAATTAGCATATAATATTAATTAAAAATTAATATTTTTAAGTCTTTTATTAAATTGAATCAAAAGAGAAGATACATCATCATATTGATTACTTGTGTTACACTGGCGCTGGTGAGAAAATTATACTGATTAAACAACCGTCGCATTAACACAGTCATTGTGCATTAATCAGGTTCGAAAGAGGTATTCCTCGTGCATGAAACATCTTAATCGTCGCTTCGCCAAGGGACCGAGGCGCGTTCTTGTTCGCCAACCTTTTCCGCAGTCGGGAAAACGTCGACGTGATAGTTTCAGATACCATTAAAAGGCGAGCGTGTGGGTGCGTAGTACGACGTCGCGATCCGTGATGTGAATGGATATACCTACGCGCGCTGTAGCGGTGTATCGTAACGCTACAGCTCGAGGAAAAAGAATTATTACCGTCGCTCTTCGCCATCGCGGGCGCGCTGATGGCCTCGCGCGAGCGGGCACGTGGGTGTAAAACGGTTCGCGCAATGAACGGCAGCTTTCGACGCCGTATATGGATATTTTCTAGACAGCCACGCGTCACCCAGCCGACTCCCTTTTCTCGTTATTATTACGCGAGAAACAAAAACCCGTTATGTTTCATTGCTCGTTATCATTCGTCGTTGTGATTCGCATAAGGTTTGTTCTCTCTTGCTTACGTCTTTTAGCCGCTGCACTTTTTTCCCTTCTTTCCCTCTATAAAATCTTCCAAATGTAATAATCTTTTTAAAAAACAGGGATTGTAAAGATTGCAATGAGGAAATTTTATGAAACAGAACGATCTTGTACGTGCTATGTATACCTACTATATTTTTTATGGATAATTGTTACCCATTTTCCTCACAGAATGATATGTATTGTATTTTATCATATGTAAAACTTGTAATTACTTTAAGCTGGACCGTCATTGTCATTTCGTGTCTTTAATTTAGGATGAAAAATGTGTTCTATTTTCACGTGAACTCGGCGTTCTAAACTTAAACGGTATGCTTGCTCGGTATTAATTTTAGTAGGTCTTCGCCGACACTCTGCCAGCCGCATATTTGCTTTCCCGCGGACGAAGGATCGGAAAAACAACCAGATAGCACGCGAAATGTCTAGTTAACTTAATGGCACTGTCTTCTTTTGTGCTTGCAGAATGTGTCAAGATGACATCTATCTCCTCTTTATGTGGCATCATCGTTATCCTGTTCTACAGTCCGATCGCGTATACATGCGGTGAGCATCTTAAGACAGTGTTACGTAAATATACTCCGGATGTCGCGCGAAAGAGAATAATAATGTGTTGCCTTTGATGTTCGTAACAGAGAACGACAAGATACAGGAGTCGGGTATGTCCTTTACTCGACACCCGCAACCTCTGGCCGCTCCGTTGAATGACGACGTGAACTTCGAGTGCAGTCTCAATATCCCTGCGGATCGTTTCGCTTGGCACCACAGGCCTCTAGGCTCAAGCAAATGGACCCCGGTGCCCAACCCCAACGTCGGTGGCAAAACGTCCCGGCACGTTGTCACCTTCGATAACGAGTCGAAGGCCGGAGACTACCGTTGCATCGCATTTTTCGGTGAGTCACCACGAAAATTAATACTTTGTTCAATCAATAATCCATTTTGTCTTATTTGAAAACTATATGTAATACAAAATGATGTCAAAATTGTACTATCTACGATAGAGTAGCCGTTCTAGAGTATACACCAAGAGATTACATAAATTCTTTTTAATTTTCTCACAGGTATCAGTGGTTTAGCATCGGATCCAGCGAGATTGACGCTCGCGACGATACAGAACTTCTCTGATAAGAATGATGTCTTCATTGCGGTGGCGGAGGGTAACACCGTGCCCATCACATGTCCCGTACCGTATTCCGAACCGGAAGCCATAGTGCAGTTCTACAAGAACGACGTGCTTATCAAGGATGCGGATTTGGTGAATGGCAGAACCATGGTCATCAAGAACGTCAGAACGACGGACAGTGGATCGTACCACTGTAGCGTTAACAATTACATAACGGTGGTAACATTTATGAGCAACTATAAGACCATCTTGACTGTACACGGGAACTTGACTTTCCAACCACCGTATCTCACCAAACAGCCGCAAACGGAATACATTGTTCCGCGTGGCAAGAATGTCACGTTAGAGTGTTTCGGCGCTGGTTATCCTGTGCCGCGCGTCACTTGGAGTCGCCTAGGCGGCTCTCTACCGTCAAAGTCGGTGAAATCACCCATCGGTTTGACGTTGGTCCACGTGCAATCATCCGATCGCGGGGAATATGATTGCGTATGGAGGAACGATGTCCGACAGATCAAATCGGCGATTATCTTGAGGGTGGTGGAACCGCCGAGAGTCACGAGACAGCCGAGCGCGTGTAAGTTCCACGAGGGCGGAAAATTGCAGCTCTCGTGTAACGTAACGGGCGAGCCGGAACCAAACGTCGAATGGCTTATCAACGGAGAGTCTCTGATGCCTAGCAAGACACAGGAAATGAGAGGCTCCACTCTTATCATATCCGAGGTCGAGAAGAAGCACGCCGGGATCGTTCAATGCGTTGCCAGCAACGAGTACGGATCGCATTCGGGATACAACCAGTTGCAGGTTCAACCGACGGAGCATATTGTCGGCGGCAAGGCTGAATCGAAGCCGGACGGCACTATGTCGAGGCATAAGCATACCAGGATCGGTGGTAGACGCAAGAATAAAGAAGGAAAGAAGAAGGGAGGCGCAGGTAGTTATTTGCTTGTGTTATCGTCGTTTCGTACATTTTCTTATCGTTTTATCAAACGTTTGGTTGAGATATCGCTGATTAAATTCCTTCAGGGACGGTTCTCTTTCGTGAAAAATTCCAGAACTCATAATTTTTGTTAAACATAAAATTAAAAGGCGCTTTTTGTATGATTAATTTTAACGTATTATGGGTATTGATTAATTTACATTCTTGCACTTTGGACCGATTTTCAGTTGAATATAAAACTACATAAAGAAACTGAATCAATTTGAAAAATTATAGCATTTTCAATTTTATTCAAATTATTTTTATATCCAATTTTCCTTGGCAATTGCATATATATATATTCTGAATTCAATCTTTGTATTGGACAGATAACATCCAGGTTGATATATTAAATACAAAGCAAGAAGATCGAACTTTTTTGCGTGGGGGTTCGGGAGGCGGAGCCCCTGACCAGAGCTCGCGAGCCTCCGAAGGCGGCAGCGCGAGCAAGCTAGTTGTTTTTGTCACTTTTCCTCCGAACGATGTCTTCCTTCTGCTTACCGCCCACCACAGGCTCAATGGTGTAGCCTTTGGTGGACAGTTGTACTGTTCCAATATATATCTATGAGTTCTAATTAATTAATGTACAAGCAGGGCGAATCACTATGAAAGACTGCGTAAATATACATTATTAAAAGTATCGTTATTATGGTCGCCCTCTTAATTTATTTTATATTCTACATATTTCCGTACCGATGATTAAAATTAAAATTCTGTTGCAATTTTTTATATTTCAATCACAAAAAAATTGATTTCTCTCTTCGTGATCCTTTCAGCAGCAGTGATTTTGGTACCTCCGGATCGGCCCAACGTCACAAGATTGTCCGACATCTCCGTCATGGTGCGATGGTCGGTGCCGGAGAACAAAGGTTTACCGATACAATTTTTCAAGGTCCAGTATCGAGAGATCGGCCCGAAGACGATTGGTAAACAGGCGAAGTGGATGACGGCTAACTCGGAGATACCGACTCATGTGCGATCCTTCGAAGTGACCGACTTGCAGCCCGATCATACCTATCGATTCAGGATTGCCGCGGTGTACTCGAATAACGATAACAAGCTGAGCCGGAATTCCATGCGTTTTCATCTCAACAGGGATACCGGTATTGAGAGCAATAGGATGCCGATACCCTTGTTGACCAACACTGAGGCGTTGGGACCACATGAGGTGTTGTTGGTTTGGCAGAATCCCGACAGGTCGGCGAAAATCGACGGATTTTACATTTATCATCGGGCCTCCACCTCAGCTGGCGAATATCTGAAGACCACCGTCGAGGGAAAGAATGCCTTTAACATGACCATTTCTCACTTACAACCCGACACCACATACGAATTCAAAGTCCAAAGCTTCTCCGTAGACGCGGCGTCGGAATTTTCCCAAATATTGCGGCAGAAAACTAAAAAGCCCGTCGTCGAGCATCCGGTTCAGCAAGTGGTGGCGGAAAATAAATTAAGACCGAGCGAGAGTAACAAGAATGTCAGTATACACGTCATAATCGGTGGGGTATTTGGAGCATCGCTCATTCTGATTGCTCTCGCCTTTGCAGCGAGATTTCTATACAAAAGAGCGAAGTATAAGCAAAGTCAGGAGTCGCAAAGCGAAGGTACATGACTTAACGAATTGATAAAACGCACTTTTTATGTAATTTTGAATGACATTCTTTCCTTTTGACGAGCAGGTAAACCGATAACGAACGGACGAGTAATGAACGGTGGAGTCACAGACTCCAAGATTAACATTACGTCCAATCCGCTTGCCGGCCTCGACACGTCCGAAGATATAATGCAGCCTAAGGTCAGTATTTGTAAGTAACAACGTCTGCACTTTTATTTCACCGGAAGAAAGTAACGGAACTGAATTCGGTCATTCGGCGTTTGTCCGAACAATAATGAGAAGCATCGAATTTCGTTCTTAAGCTCTCCGTGTACAATTTTGTGTACTCGATTTCTTCGAACCATAGTTGTTTACCTTTGATCAGTCATTTACTTTCCTTCCGGAAGTCAATACGATTCTAGACGAGCGCGGAATATCTGTTTAGAGTCGCATATAAAAAGATTTTGCCGCTTCAACAATTAAAGATATGAATTATCTTCGAATTATGAGCAAGATGGTTCAGCAGGACTTTTACGGGGATCTCACATTTACTCGACATCGACTTCTGCTCTCGTCTAATAGTGTAAATGCGACATTAAATTGCCCGATATATTAAGGAGACTAGTCTTTTCTAGTTTTAGCATTGGTCGCGCGCTGCTCTTTAATTCTACTCGCTCTCTGCACTCTCTCTGGAGCCGCTTTTCTTTTGTTTTTCCGAACGCGACACACGCACGTTACCACTTACACGCTCTAGATCTGAAAAAAGAAGCGAACGAACGAACGAACACGCATGTTTCTAAATCCAGAGCGGGCAACAGTCATCGATGGAAATGACGTCGTTTCTAAACGGCCAAAACAACAATGGCAGCAACAACGGCCATAACAACGGCGACGCAGCCGGGTCTGACGTGAACGTCACGTCACATAACGAGCCGTCGTCTCTGCGCCAAGGGCCGCTGCCTATCGAACAACGTTTGTGAGAATGATTGCAGCTATATCTCTATTTTATAGACGGTAAGAATGCGACCTGACCCGCATCCTCGAGGACGGAATTTTACACCGTTGATCGAACGTACGAACCTATTAACGAACTTTATTTCGCGGGAAGAAACGTAAGGACTTGTCGACACGTTATCTCAACGAGAAACTTAACTTATAGACTGTATTTAACGTATTCAGCTATTATCGCAACTATGAGACTGTTGCAAGACATTTACAGGGTGTCTTAAGTAGATATGCTCAAACGTATCGTTACTGTAGATTGGGATTAATTTCGCGCAACTTGCGCGGGGAAAAGATATGCGACGTCGCAGATTTCCTGGCAAATACAACGCACCTTTTACATTCAGTATAATCGAGTATAGTATTGTGAAAAGAGATATTTCTTTCCACGTCTTCCGTTTGTCACAGACAGTATTTCACGACAGCCGAAATAGTCCCATTTTACAGTACATAATTAGAAAGTAAAAAACGATCTGATTGCATCCTATGACATATTTTTTGTCTTTCCCTTTCTCTTTATAAGGAAACGTTATTAAGACCCTTGTTCCGTTAAGTAGATGTGAAATTTAATTGATGTACCTGTGAAATAACTGACTTAACTGTTACATATCTACTTAACGGTCGTAAACTAGTGAGCACTGAACAACGTTGTTTAGTAATTTTTTTAATCTCTTTTCGCGCGTTGTACACACTTTTACATCACTTTCATACATAGGCTGCTTTTTAAGAGTTTTGTAATAAAAGCTTATGTATCTAAAGTACATAACGTAAGGATACACGATACGTATAGTTACATTAACTATTCGCCAATGTTGAAAAGAAGGTAGTGTCATTTTACGATAGAGAGTTATTAGTAATATTCTTTTTTTATTAAATAATGAAGACATAATGGTTGAGTCATATATTGTTAACATTTTCTTGGTGTGTATGCCTGTTATTTTTATAAATGTTTTCCTAGCTGCGGACAGAGTGGTTGAATAACTTTCTAATGTCATCCATGACCAATGCAATACAACACGTCACGATATCTCTGACGGTGATTTGTTGTCAAAATTATATACATATATGTAGAACGTTGTTTATATTGCGAGCGGGAAAAAAAAGGAGATTGTGATAAAATTTATATTTTGATAATTGGTATTTTGCGTATAACGGCAAAAGACGAAAATTGTAAATACGAGTGTACAAAACTTTTCTAATAAATTATTTAGAATGTTTGGCTAATGGAAAGTACTGCAATTCGCAATTCTGTAAGTTGGCAGCGAAGCTAGTGAAAATATCCATTGTACATACTAGGATAGCATTCAAGCGACACGAATGAGTACATGTGCCTTACATCTTGCCTGAAGATAATGATGAACTAAAAATAACTGATTATTTATATACTTCTGTACATGTATACCACCATTTTGTGTACTTAATTTTTATAAAATAAATTATATTCAAAAAGGAATGGAAAAATGTGAAACACGCGCGTGCCTGTATGAAGTGAAAGCTTTATAAAACATTCCTTTTTTTATTCAGCGTGACTGTACAATATAATGTGCTTTAAATATAACGATTGTGTGATTAAATGATGAATAAATCATTGGTGAAATACCATTGGAGATCCACAGCCGAATGTAAGTCTTCTAACACAATCAATTAATATAAATCTTTCTTGATGAAATTTGTAGCTTTAATAATAAAATGTAACAACTTTTTATACGGTCCGTAATAATTGTACGATCGCATCAAAGTTCAGGACAAAATTTCATTCTATTTGTACATTTATTCATATTTTTATATATGGAATTCTATTTATAAAATTAATGAATTTTATGTATATTATATGTTTTTATGTATCACTATGCGTGACGTACAGTTTATTCATGGTATATATTCTGAATCTTTAAATATCTTCCACGTTACGGACGTAAAGTACAAAAATAGAATTTTATCGCAAGTTACGTAAGCCATCCAAAGCTAGGGCTTTACGTAATAGGGCTTCCCTTGTCTTCCGTCGCGGTCGTCGAATGCTTTTGAATCGAAGGACCGTTCGCGCCGGGGCACTGCGCCGTCTGCGCCACTTCCGGACAGCTGGACAGAGGACGCTCGGCGCGGTTCCGCTACCTGGATATTTAAAAGTAACCGTAAACCGTGTGGCGGATCGTGTCGTGTGCCGGGGAAAGGACTGCTCGGAACGTGCGTGCGCGTAAATAAATAAATAAATCGGTCGAAGCATCACAGAGAACGTCGTCCTTCGCACGGATTGTGATGTTTGCGAGATTCGTCCGAGTCAGGGGGTCGAGCAAGGTAACCAGCTGAGTCCTCAACTTGCAACCACAGAAACGAATTTGCGAGGTTCGGTGAATCCGGATTTAGGCGCATGCCGACCTCTCTCCTCCTTTTTTTCTCTCTTTTTATGAGTGATCGTGCGAAGTCGTAAACACCGGCGGATCTCCGTTCAACGGCCAGCGGGACGCGTCCGAGATCAGGATGTGCGATTTGATAGACCTGAACAGTCCGGACGTGAGGGGTGCGCTGGAGCCGGCGAAGCTTGCGTCGCCGCTGATCCCGCCGCCGGAGGATGTCGAGTGCGACGACGGAACGGGCACGGAGTCGGCGACGGGGAAGCGCGAGGGCGACGGTAATAACAATCCGTTCGACCGAGCGCTGCACGAGACCGTCGAGTACGTCAGCAAGAAGAACGATCCCTTCGAGGTGATGCTGCAGCGAGCCCTGAGGTCCAAAGAATGGAAAAGCTCGCAGTCCGTGGACTTTACGGACGACTTTACACCGAGGCGTAAGAAGAGGTACTTGAAAACGATGAACAAGACGTTGGGTGTGCTCGACGAGTCGTTGCTCGAAAGCAGGTTCGGCTTGTTCGGCGTAGACAAGAGGGAAGCGAAGATCAGGACGGGGAGTGTCGATAACGATGCGAGAAACACTTACGTCCGCGATGGCAAAGCGGCAGACGATGCGTCTGTCATCGAACAAGAGCATAAGGTAGAGCATAAGGTTGATGGCCCGGACTCGCTCGAGTTGTCCATCTTAAGTCAATCTGCGATGAATGACACGCTGTTCCTGAGCTGTGCTAACCCCGAGGAGAATGGCAGGGTGTCACCTTCCTTGGAGAAGGATACTTGGTTCGGAGGATTTGCCTTTCCTTCAAACGCCAAACATCTTAAGGCGCCAAATGTTCAGCGTTCGTTGTCGCAGGGAGCTGGAAAGTCACCGAAAGGATTGCTGGGTCTGAATAGGAGATCGCAATCCATGACGGATGGCCGTAGGAGAGCCTCGCAGAGCACCAACAGCACCGTGTCGTCTGTCCTGGACAGGGCCTTCTTGGAAAGTAAACTGAGCGAACGGTCTGTATTCTCCAATTCATCGAACGCCTCGTCTATAACGAAATTGACTTCTGCTTCGCTGTCGTCGTCGGTACTGTCGAACGATGTTATGAACCACGCTTTCCTGGATGACGGTTCGTTGAAAAGCAGTCAGGAGAAGATGAATGCCAGCGAAAGTTTTGTGGATATAAAGCCGAGGCAGTACGACTTATCGGATTTGGCGGAAAGACTTAACAAATTGAGATATACTATGAACGATACGACCAATACTTCGAGTGTAACGAAGAATGACTCCAATTCCACGAAAGAGGAAAATAATAAACGGACCCCGAATAATAAATTGATAGATGTCGATGTATTCGTGCCAGAACAAAATAAGGAATTTAATAAAAGCTCATCTTCCACTTGTTCTTCGGACTCTGTATTTGCTGTAAGATATTTAACAGAATTATATACTGCATAGAGTGTTTAGTATTTTGCAAGAAATATTCACATTTTGTTTATCGTTAATATCTTAACACTTAAACATAAATGTACGGTGTTTCGCAAAATTAATTTATTTCTAAACTACTTGATATTGAAGCAGAAAATAAAAACTGATTACAGAATACAAGTAAAGTCGATCGGTCAATCCTGAATGAGGCTAAGATGCTTGCAAGGACTTTTGAGGAATTAGCATTAAAAACAGATTCTGGATGTAAGTATTTTATAATATTTATTATATAGCACTTGCAATTAATTTAAGTTCTTAATGGTTCTTTTTCATTATCTTTCTTTTTCTTCACCAGCTGGTACGGATGATGATTTAATTTCGAATAATACTCTATGGATGTCAGCATTATTACCGGCATTTGATGATGAACCTGTAGTAGATGATTTAATTGATTTACCTGTCTCGCCAGAAGGATACTCGAGAGACATTAAAAACAATGATAAGAGGCAATCTTCTACAAGTAGTGATAGCGCGGAAGAAAATTTATTGAAAAAACTGGAATTTACCGGTGTTTCTGTTGTAAAACAAGATGTATCTTCGTTATTGTCAGATCTCAGAAAATTAATTAATGCAGAAAGTAATACAGAAGCTAAGAAATTACTTGATAATCTGGAAAACATTTTGGATGTAAATTATAAAAATAATACAGAGTTATTAGTAACTTGTTTAAATATATCAAATAAGTCACAGAGTTCTCAGAAAATGCCCTTAGATAGCATCGAAAGATCCGATAAATCAAGTACAGATAAAAGCGAGGAAGGAAGCGATAAGGTATCATCTTTAGAAAAGCTCTGTAATAAAGAAAAGTCGCCAGACATAAACTGTACACCGGAAAATACATCGCAAGACATTGTCAGTAGTTCTCAGAAATCATCGGTTACATCTTCATCCTGCAAAGATAGTAACGAAGATCGTAGTGCAAATTCATCTGACTTGACGGAACACAGCAAGCTTGATAAAGAGAAAGATGATCAGGTAGATAAAAAGATAGCGGTAGAATTGCTAATAAATCTCCAGAAATTATTGAGCGGTCAAACTGAGGATGATGCAACGATACAGTTACTTAAAACTATAGGAAAAGTGTTGAATACCGCATTAAATAATAACATTGGAAATGAAATGCAAGCCAATTGCACTAGAAAACAAAATGTTCAACAGACTACACCTGTAAGAGCGTCACAATCTGGTCGTAATGCGTATTCGTCCGCACTATCGACAAGAGTGGCACAAAGACGAAGCTTGGAGCCAAAATCTAAAGTGAGTAAATTTTTATTATCTTCTATGATGTAATTTTAATTATTTGCTTATGCGTCACTGTATTTTCTGCCGTTCGAGAAGACAGTTAGAAGAAGTG